CGCAGAATGCCTTTTCCTGCAGCAATTAATAGGCCAGTTGGTCCATTGATATTATCAGTCCAACCAGGCACCGGTTCCCGCCAAACCGGTATTACAATCGATGGTCTTAAAATCATTGCAGGCAGTTCATCAAAGTTCTCTGCGACCAAAGCTTCGGACAACGATTTCGTATATGCATATGTATTGGGTATGTCGCCTAATATTTTGTGTTCTATGGCAGCCACTTGTTCATCCGTTAACCATTCACAAGCACTAATCACTTTGTGAGGATTAGCTGGTGGATCGTAAACCCGTTCGTAAAGCGTTTTAACATGTAAATGGCAGTAGGCGGTCGATACGTGTGCAAAGAAGTCTAAATGTTTTACTGATTTTGCAAATTCTAACATGTACTTAGTGCCACGCGTGTTCAAAAATACCGCCTTACGAAGTGGCTCATCGAATCTGTAATTAAAATGATATACATATATTCATTTTTAATAAAAAATAAATTCTCATAAATCAAAATTGTTAACCAAGTTTATTAGGCTCTGCTCGGATCTTATATTTTCGCTCCATAAATTGCTTTTAACCCTTGCAATACGGAAACTGATATACTTGGCTTACACTATTCCGGAATGTGTTCGACAGGCCAAGTTTAGAAACTAAAGTGTTTATTATATTCAGGAATATAATAAATAGTTTAATGTATGGTTTTGGATCTAAAACGTGTCTCTTTTAGGGATAATGAAATGTGGCTAGTGCGGATTTAGATAAAAAGTAGTAGATGTAAAAAGTTCGCTACACGAGAATTAAAACTTTCCAGCTTTTTCTTCTTGAAGTAAAGAAAATGCTCGGTTGACATACTTCACGTTGTCAAGAATTTCTTACATTTCTACCGCAGGAGAACAGAAATTCGCATCAGAGGAGCCATGAAGCATATAATTTCAAGTCGACATAACCGAGTGGCTCTGCTTGTCTATCTCATTGGACGCTCTTCTTCTTGCGCGGGTAAGGCGCAAAGAAGAAAAGCTTAAATTCGATGGACATACTCATCAGGCTTAATTACATCGGATTTAGTAAGCAATGTATTCTGCTCGAAAACCTTCCCACAATAACTGAAATTTTCATAGCTTCAATTCATAGTAGATCTTGATCTGAAAATCGATATTAACATATAGGAAGGCTCAGACGCTCGCAACAGGAAGAGAAAGCTGCATCTTGTAGTCTAGTACAGTTACTTGGCAGCTAAAAGCCCAATGGGTGAATGGAGTCGATTCATGAACTGATTAACAAAAAAAAACTGTAATCATAGACTTAGTAGCACATGGATTTTTTAAATAATAGAGATAGAAATAGGGATATGACCTTCCATCTCGCGCAACGCATATTTCGGAGTCCGATTATAATAACTTAAGAAATAGGTTAGTCTGGAAAGAAACTTATCATTGCAAAATATTTTTCTGAATGACTTGTGAGTTCGCTTTTAATGCCTGGTTAATGCCCTTAACTGTTTCTTGCTTGAGTTTTATGTATTTTTAATGAAATGCCAGATTTTCAAGACGCCTCAAGGCCGCTACCCATATATTTTATTTATGAAAAATTTTATTACCTTACTGTGGCGGCACAATGATAAATAATTGTAACCTCGTTTCGTAGTGTTTCCAGATCATTCGGTTGTATGCCCAAGCCGAGTTCCGTAACATCGCCAGCAATAGCAGATACCTTGCTTAAAATTACATCTTCGCCTTTCTGTTTCTTAACCATATCAAAAAGCTATAATTCAT